GCATCATCAAACTCGAAACATTAACTGTTTCTCTCTCGACAGATGCTGTCAAATCTGCTCTTTTCTTCAGCACTTGCTGTTTTTACTCCAGCATCCACAGTATTTTGCTTTAATTTTTAGAAAAATGTCAATGTTGAAAATATGGAAAAATGCTACAGTGCAACCTCCATAGATGGCAGAGACTCATACAGGTCAGAGGTTAGGAAAAGGGCCAAAGACAGTAAGTTCTAAGGTTTATTGATAACTCCCTCCAAGCTCTTCTCAGGCTGTAAGTAGCAGGCAGCAAGTTCTCATGCCATGGATAGTAAGAATTGCCAATGCTGGAGTCAGAGATAACACAGTGTGGAGCTGGAGGAGCACAGCAGGCCAGGCAGCATCACGGGAGCAGGAAAGTTGACATTTCGGGTCGGGACCCTTCTTCAGAAATGGGGCAGGGGGAAGGGAGCTCCCAAATAAATAGAGAGAGGAGGGGTGGGGCTGGGGAAGGTAGGTGGGATTGTGGTAGGTGGGATTGTGATAGGTGAGTGTAGGTCGGCAGTAGTGGGGATTGGTCAGTGAGGTGGGAGGAGCAGATAGGTGGGAGAGAAAATGGACAGCTTGTGTCAGGTTGTGTCAGGTCAAAGGGGCGGGGATGAGATGGAGGGTTGGTCAAAGGGTTGAGGTCGGGGTTGGGGAGATTTTGAAACTGGTAAAGTCCACATTTAGACCATTGGGCTGCAGGCTCCCAAGGCGGAATATGAGGTGCTGCTCCTCCAGTTTCCGGGTGGCGTCATTGTGACACTGGAGGCGGCCGAGGACGACATGTTGCCCAGGGAGTGGGAGGGGGAGTTGAAATGGTTCGCGGCTGGAAGGTGTTGTTTGTCGCGAACAGAATGCAGGTGCTCTACAAAGCGGTCTCTGAGCCTCCGCTTGGTCTCACCGATGTAGAGGAGGCCACATCAGGAGCAGAGAATGCAATAGACCACATTGGCGGATGTGCAGGTGAACCTCTGTCTGATGTGAAGGGTTTTTTTGGTTCCTTGGATGGAGGTGAGGGGGCAAGTATATGGCCAGGTGTAGCACTTCCTGTGGTTGCAGGGAAAGGTGCCTGGGGTGGTGGGGCTAGTGGGAGTGTGGAGTGGATGAGGGAGTCGTGGAGAGGGTGGTCCCTACAGAAGGCAGATAGGGGTGGGGAGGGAAATATATCTTTGGCAAAAGTAAACAGATAAAAGCTGCATGGACAGAGAACGCAAAGGTCCTCCCGAGATCAGCACAGGTAACTAAAGCTTCATTTGTGGAGGTGGGCACAAATGGAATGCAAATCGAAATCTGGGCTATAACACTGGATGGCTCCCAGAATCATGAGAGAAGATGCGCGCCCGGCAATGGATTCAGCTAGAAGCACATGCAAATGTATAACTTGTAAGGGTGGGTGGGTTTTGGACAACACTGGATGGAGCATTGCCCATTGCCTGCCAATGAGTTGGCACAATGTGGAGGGTTCACAGCCCGTTACTGTAGCAGGATAAGTGTGCCTGACATTCAACATAATCAGACAAGGCTGCTTTAATAAAGGATAAGAGGGCCCAGAAAATAAGGGAGAAGAGCTGGAGAGGAGGGATAGTGGCAAAACTGACTATCCTCATCCCTGTAGAGGTTAAAGTACTGCAGCTGTCAGCGAATAATTGGAATTGAACCATTGGCTTCAGCAAAACTGGTGTAAAGTGACAGGGTGCTGAGCTTTAAAGGGAATGTTATGCAATGCTGATAGAGCCAGAATCTAAAAGGCTCAATTAGAGGGAGTGTCATGGTTGCTGTGGTCATATGGACAAACCTTATTTCATCTGTGATGCTGAGGGCTCCAAATATTTAGGATATGTGACAACACAACTTGGCGAATGTAAACTCTATTGTGGAGACCTAACCGTGATTTCACAAATTGCCAATCAAGAATTTTCAAATATCTGGTGTTTGGGATATTACCTTAAACCTCCATCTTTCTGTCTCCCCCAAAGATCCACCATCCAGTGCCCAGTCTGAGGAGGAATCACACCCACCCCCTAAGGAAATTGTGGCACAGCCTTTCTCAGCACCCAGCACCATTGCAGGTACTGGCACACCAATCAAAGTTCACGATGGTGCAGACAAATGCACAAATTATTGAGGTTACTTCACAGTAACTCATGCAGCTACTGGAGACAGAGACAGAAAGAAAGAGAGATGTGGCAGGATTACAGCTGTTGGGGGATTGCACGTTGATCTAGATGTTGAGTCCTTGTTAGACGATGAGTGTCTAGAGTCATCCGTAAGACAACAGATGCTGAATCTCCAGAAAGATATGTGTGAAGATATGTTATGAGAGGGGTTGCAAGCTTTAGCAAGATCTTTAGAGGTGTCCACCAGGCCAAGAGCATTGTATTCACCAGATTTTGAATCTCTGTGTCTCCACTCAGGATATTCTTGTGAATCTGATAGACCCAGCAGACTGCAGAGGTTATCACTGGAATGTGCTCTGACCTGTACTCCACCGCCTTTGCTCAGGGATGCAGAATCAGGACAACAAGGAGAACAGCAGTTTGGACACAAATCCAGCTGCACATCCCACTCTGGGACTTGCAAACAGACCTCATGCTGGAGGTTGAGCAGCTGGCATCACCTAGAAGCTCCATTTAAATTGGTGAAGTGTGATACTGATTCCAGCGAGTGTATTAAATCCAACCTGACAAACAAAATGATGAAGCATTGACTTCTTCACTCGGCATTTTTCATACCCACAGTGCATATTCTAAGTGATTGAACTATTTATTGCAGTTAATTGTCCTCTTAATGAGATTAAAAGCTTTTCAATTGTCACTTTGCATTTGGTGGGTGGGTTCCCTATTTCGAATGTCACCCACCCACTGTTATAGCATTCCGGCACAATTTCACCAGGTATGCATTCCAAGGTCATTGTGCCAGACGCAGCGCAGTGCAGTTCAAGAAATAGACATTCTGCTCAATATTTCTCCTTGTGGAAATCCAAAACCATGGAGTAATCCAAAACTAAGGGACCTAATTATAAACTGATAAATCCAATAAGGAATTCAGGAGCACCTTCTTTACTAAGAGAAACCTCTTTACTTGAGTGTGGGACTTACTTCTGTAAGGAGTAGATAGAGTGAATATGATAGATGCTTTTATTAGGAAACAGATTTAGAAGATGAGGGGGAAAGGAATACGCAGACAGAATTATCTGAAATTAGGCAGGAGGAGGCTTGTGCAGAACAGAAACTTTGCAGCAATTGAGTTGAATAATGCCCGTTTCAGTGCTGTAAATGATATGTTTCATTATGTAGAGTAGCCTGAACTTTGTAAAATTTCAGTGTTGTGTTTTTCTATCAGTTCAAATCTGAAGATTTCTGAAATGCACATAATTCATTTGCCCAGATCTTTGTTTGTCAGTAGACAGTTGAAATCTTTTCATATCCATTCAAAATGCATTGACAAGACACAAGTTTTGTCTACCAATGTCATAAGCATGATAGTGACAGGGAAAGGTGTAGCCCGTCTGCTTTTCTGTGCAGACACTCCACAGGGCTGAGCAACATGGGGCAAAGACAGAGTTCCTGTTTGGGCAGGGTGACAGAAGGTGGCCATGCAGGAGAGGCCTCTCTGTTTAGCAACTCAAATTTGTGCATGCCACCACAATGAAATGAATGACCTTCTCCCTCACCTCAACAACAACCTGCATTTAAATACTGCCCTTAATGTACTGAATCATCCCTAAGTGCCTCACAAGTGTTACAAAACGCCACACCTCCTCTGACATTTCTGTGTGTTCCAACCCAGAAATGGCTTCCAGACGTCCAATACCAATGATTGTGTGCTCATGATGGCGATGCTATGGAGGTCATAACAGACTTGGAGATACATACAAGTACTGGATGGCTCCTCTTGAGTGGCTCAGGAAGCATAACTGTTGTTTTAGAATGTTAATGATCTGGTTCATGATATTTCTGGTATTTGATTGGCTTTTGTTTTTATCCTCACATGCCTGTATAGCAGAACGAGCATCATCAGCCAAATGCAGAGGTGGAAGTGTATTTCTAAGCACTCTGGTTTATCTTGGAAGCCCAAGTATTGCTCTCAGATGAGGAAAGACATGATTGGTGCTCCCTGAGAAGCCATGATGGGTAAAGCTATCTGTAGAAAGTCGTCCTCATCCACTCTCTCTTTAGAACTTTGCCACACTCGTCTCTGCTCCAATTCCTGCCACTGCACCTTCAGCTCCCACAATTCTTGCAGAGTTCATGTGTACAGGTTAACAAAATTTCTATCCTCCTCAAAAGGTATGCACTAATGAAGAAGAGATGTCCACAAACAAGGTACAGTAGTTCTACAAATGTTGTTACAACAGAAATAAGTCAAAAGCACCATGTACACAAGTTAGAGAGAGTAGGAGATAGTAGGAACTGCAGATACTGGAGAATCTGAGATAACACGATGTAGAGCTGGACGAACACAGCAGGCCAAGCAGCATCAGAGGAGCAGGAAGGCTGACATTTCGGGCCTAGACCCTTCTTCAGAAATTTCATTTGTTCATTTCTGAATACACAAGTTACATGCCTGTCCTTTTAAATAGCACTCATTGGGAGGGAGGGTACACCTGTTCAGTGGAGAATGATGTGCTTCAAAAATATCCACCAATCAGCTGAATGATGCCATGATCCAACAAATTCTGGTGCATCTAAGACACCCAGGTTAGTGTTCTATCCAACATGGAGCACAGCATGGAGTATGTTGGAAGTGTATTGAGTACCTTTTTCTTACTTCAGGCAAAATACCAAGAATGCTATGGAAGCAAAGCTCATGGCCTTAACACTGAAACAGCCACTGCAAAATGGATAATCTAAACAACTTCTGTGGTAGGATCACAGGATGGATAGAAACATTATAATAAACAAAGTAAGTTATATTTTACATCTATGAATACTAACATAGTAATGGAAAAGAAAATGTTTACTGCATTATGTTGCACATACCTCGGAAGTGAGGTAATTTTACCCCATTTCTCAATACAAAATCTTCGGGGTCCATTGCTGCCACGCAACGATGCAAAGCCTTCATAGGGTATGCTTGATGTACCCGTGACAAACTAGCAAAGGAATAGAGTTTTAGGTAACATTAGTGGATATACAGGTGCTTAGTAGAATACCTCACCAAGGTAGTTGGTTAAACTGTACCTGTAACAATCTTAGTCTCTGCTCATTGTTGAATCTTTCAACTGCAGCCCAAAACCACCTGATCACTATATGATTGTCATGGTACCCTTTGAAAAAATAAATGAACAATAAATAAGATGCTGGTTTTTAAAATATTAAACTAATATCAAGATTAAAATAATCTAAATCATCTCACCTCCTCTGTACTCTGTATTGTTTCTCCAATCGCTTAAATCAATCTCTGCTGTGCCAGCAATCACTAATTCTAATTCCCGTGCATCAAACACAGAAACAAGCCGGGCATCCACCACCTAGAATAAGGAACTGCTATTAAATAAAAGCATAACACCAATTAAAGTAACATCTGAAAGTTATCCTGAATTTCTAGTTAGAACTTGCATTCATGTAGTTGGAGCCAATGAGTATAATTTGACCTTACATAGATTGAAGCTCAATTAAGATATTGGTTCTATTAGCATATTTTCATTAGTGATGATTTCAATCCCTCAGGATCCCCTAACACATTATTCTTTAGGTTTCATTATGAAAGACCTCACATTGAAGAGAAATGGCAAAATACTTTTGTGCTGCCCTATATTTTTCACTTTCCCTATTCCCGATCTAGGGACATACAAGTTTAGTTGCTCTTTCAAAACAAAACAAAGAGATGAAACAATTTACACAAGGCACGTCCTATGATAGTCAGTAATTATTCAAATAAAGTTAGATAAATTTGACACGCTCTATCCCAACAATTACTTGTATAAAATGAAATATTTTGGCAAGAAGAATTGTAAGGTTAACAACATTCCTTTATTTTCATTGTATATATTGTGTATCTGCCATCCTTACCTCATAGAAGCCACGTACTAAGCTTTCTGTTTGTTGCACAACACCTCTCTCAATGCGCCATTTTACCATTTTTTCAATGTATTCTTTCTTGTTTTTTTCTACAACAGGGATGTTTGCTCCACCTGGCTTCAGTTCTCTCTCTGTAATCTATTCCAAAAAAAAAATGAATTTCAGGTCATTGAAAACCTGTAATATTATTTACATTAAAAGTTCTAAAAATAGGCATCAAAAACACACTTATTGTAATGTAGTGAAGGTACTGAAGTTTAATTTGACAATATAGCCTAAAACTAAACATTCAGATTACAATTGGCAGGAATTAGAAACATTTTTAAACAGAAATGTCAGAAGTAAAAATTTGCCAAGGTTTAAGCTATAATTAATTGTTTACCAATAATCAAAAAGATAGATCTCAGTCACCTGTTCACATTTGGTCAAGAATTTAGCTTATTAATTATTTTTTATAGCTCAATTAATGAGATTGAGTTGTTGCTTGTGGTTGTATTATGATTGTGGGTATTGGGGTACATTTAAGAAAGAGAAAGGGAGAAAACAGCAATCTATAGCAGAACCAATGTGGATGTATTAATGGGAATCATGTTTGATGAATCTGTTAAAGTTTTTGAGGATGTAACTAACAAGATGGATAATGGGGAAATGACTTGATTGTAATGATGTTGAGTTTTCAAAAAGCACTTGATAAGATGCCATTCAAGAGATTATAGGGCTCATGGGGTTAGGAGTTAAATATTAGTATGGATTCAGGTTTGGTAAATGGACAGAAAACAGTGAATAGAAATAAATGTAACAATTTCCAATTTGCAACAAGTAACTAGTGGGGTATCACAGGGACGGAAGCTTCAGTTGTTTATAATCTATAATAACGATGAGGGAATCAAATGAAACATATCCACGTTTGCTGATGACGCAAAGTCAGATGGGAAAGTACCAGTGAGGAGGATGCAAAGAAGCTGCAATGGGAGAGACTGTACAATAACATATCAGATGGAATACCATGTGGCAAAATGTGAGGCTATCAATTTTGGATAGAAACATAAAAAGTGCAAAATATTTTTTGAACAGCAAGAGGTCAGGCTATGTTTGCATAGTTTGCACATGAATCACAAAGTCCACGGGCAGGTATGGTAAGCAACTAACAAGGCAAATCATATGTTATCATTTTATAAAGGAATTGGATTATCAATGTAAAGAAGTCTTATAAAAATTATACAGAACATTTACGAAGCCAAACCTAGAGAGCTCTGTGCAGTTTTGTCTTCTTACCCAAGGACGGACATCCTTGTTTTAGAGGATAAATTGAATAGAGGAGGCCTATATTTCTTGGAGTTTAGAAGATTGAGAAATAATCTCATTGATACATATATAATGTATTAGGTGAGTGACGTGGTAGATGCTGAGAAAATGTCTTCATTGGTTGTTGAGTCCAGAACACAAGGTCACAGTCTTAGCATAAGAGGTCAACCATTCAGAGCTGTGATAGATCATTACCTCTTCACTCAAAGTGATATAAAGTTTTGGAATTCTCTAACCCAATGGAAGTTTGGCATGTCCAAGAGCTGAGTAAATTTAAGACAATTTATTTACACATATACTACAATCCCTTTGTAAGTCATTAGATTTTTGGGTACTAAGGAAATGAAAGGCCAATATAGGAAAGTGGAGTAGAGGTAGAAGATCAGCCATGATTTTGCTGAATATGGATCAGGCTCAAGGGTCAAATGGCCACTTCTTATTTATTATAATCTAATAAAAATAAGTATATAAAAATCTTAAAAAGTATGTAATAATTCATCAATGAATGAATCTGAACAGTACTAATATAATAAATGAGGAACCACTCTGCAGACTATAAATTCTATTTGAGAATATTACAGCACCACATTCTAATTACATGAAGAAGAAAGTTAAAAATGAAATGTAGTATGGTATGGAGGAATAGATTTTAATTAGATAACAAGCATATCCTGGTAATGAGGAGATCAGGATAATTGGCATACAATATGTGTTGCCCTTTTATTCTCAGGCCAGAGGAGTGGTATTTTAAAACAAAACTTATTTGCAAGTGTGAACATTCAAAACATAAGTCAGAGTGCCTTTAAAGATTTATCTTAGCTACTGGCAGGGATTAGGCATCATTTAAATGAATAATTTATCTATATTCTTATTACTATCATGATGCCCATATCTCTGGGAAACCGTGGTTATGAAGGAGTTTGTGAATTTTATATTGTTCAGACTTAAAATTCCCGAAATCTTTTTAACTAGTTTAAAAACCAACTGAGATCGATTTTATCTCAGGGAAAGTGAATGGCTGTTGATTATAGTTTAAATCGGGTCCCTTCAATGGGATAAACAAATATTACAGATGTGAAGCCACTACATGAACATTATACACTGGTCTGAAGGTTTGGCAGAAGAACTAAAATCAGTATAAATGAAATAGATTGCTCCCACTAGTTTGGAAACCACCAAGCTCTTTACAGTATGGTACAAAAGCTACTTTGGTTTACTACATAATTCCAGAACCTTCCAACATCAAAATAAGTGAATAATTAAGTTTATCTAATTTTTCTAAAAAATGTCAGTTATTTTAGTAAACCATTAATTTTGAAATATCATCCCAACTGTTAAAAGCAAATTTAAAATCTTTTCACCAAGAATTCCAAGAATGCTAAAATACAATTGCCTCATACAGTAAGGCATTATATATATGTAGCAGAAATAAATGTGGCATTGTAGTGCATATGAATAATCAGCCTCATTTTAGTCAGAAGATGAAGTTTAACATTTAAATGTTTGCAAAGATGTAGTAAGGTAAAATCCCCATATTCCCAGAGAACCACAGAGCTACACCCTCAAAGAGAGAGAGAGAGAGAGAGATAAGACTGGTGGTGGTTTAACCGGAGGGTCATCATGCTCAGGTGAAGGGCAAGGTTGAGAAAAAGAATCAAGTTGATTATTGCTTTCCCGTATTAAATGCTACATTTCTAAAGCATTTTGGTTTACTCATTGTGGTGAATACTACACTTAGGTTTGAACTACTTCATATTAAAACAAACCTTTCTTAAAATGTGAGTCTAGTTGGTGGGGTGGTGCTAGAAGCAGAAGAGGGCAGAGGTTAAATGGGTAACCATGGATAGTAGGTGACTAACTTTTAAATTGAACCATCATTTATTCAATAAAAATCATCTCAAATTTTCAGTGTAAATGTAAATATACTGCTCTTTCATATTGTAACTTCTTATTTCTTCTGAAATTTCTACATCTACATTCTACGGCAAATAATACTTCAAAATATTTGCCTCATGGGTATGGTGTTCCATGACAGGAGGATAAAATACACAAAACAGCTAAATTAGAAATAGAGGGAGAATACAGAAATGAAATTAAGAAATAACTCAATAGATTGAAAAGGTTATGATTTTTGTTTCCTAGACCTCACATTATTCACAACATTTTTAATTTGATCAAAGAAAAAGCTAGCTATAGAGTCCTGCAGTGATTTGTGCCAAAGAAATAAAAGGGCATATTGCATGACCTTGAAATTCCAGCAGGGCTCACAAGATTGCATGTCAAAGAATTGGGGTAAAGTGGTTGTTGTCCTGATTTCCTACTCTCTGAAAACTGGGATTGGAATCGCCCCTATAAAATGTACTTTATTCCACGTTTGTTAAATAATGTTTTTAATCAAAACTACTCAAGTAGCCTGAGTGAAAATAACTTCAAGAGCTGTTCTGATTAGGTGTCAAAGTGAGGATGGTTCATGCGTGTTTGGCAGATTCTGTTCCTGCTGGAGTCACTTTTATTCCAACCCAGTATCCGGACTGGCAATATTAAGCTTTATGGAGTGTAATTCTATCTAAATATTAAATATTAAATAAAGACACATCCCAGAATGGCTCAGATGAAACACACCAGAACAGGTCAGTTTGCTTCAAATAGGATCAGGACTTGATTTTTTTTTGCCATTTTTACATCTCAGTAACCAGCTCAAAACTGATTAGGTATGTGTAGGAATTGCACTGATTTGTCAGAAATCATTGGTTGAATGGTTTTGCCTAAATTTAATATTGCCACGTTTTCCTATTTAATTTTACAAGCATGTGAGATGTCAAATGGTTTAATTGAGCATGATTCTGCAAAGCATAATTTTCATCTGTCAAAGCCACTTAGTGGCTGTTCAGAGTCTTCATTATTAAATATTGACATTAAGCACTGGATATGCTGTTTATTTGCTGACATAGGTCAGATTCAGGAATGGTATTTCTTATACAATATTTGAGGTACTTGGTTTCATTAATTCAATACGACTCAAAACAGATTACATTGTTACTCAGTAAAATATTGTTCTGACCACTCCGTGTTTGCAGTCGTCTAATTACTGCCCTTGACAGAATACAAGAGGAAACAAAGACGGTTCTTAAGGTTGAAAGTCTAATTTCAAAGAAAATGATTTAAAAAAAAAGTTGATTTTGTAGCAGGATGATCAAATTGAATTTAATTGAAATTATGAAGCAGTTGGCAAATTATTCCATCTGAAGTATTCACTATGATGATTCTAAAATGTCAGAGTACACATTAATATAAGAAAATAAGGAGAAGTAGATTAATAGAGTTGTAGAGCAGGTTAGCAGGAAAGGCTAGGGAGGAGCTAGCTATGACTGGATCATTTAAGAAACTGATGGCATAAAAGAAGAAAATAACAGTGCTGTGCAACACAAATTTGCAAAATCAGCAATCTATCATTGAATATACTTTATAAACGTTTGGTTCATGAAGTGACATTTTTTCATTTTCTTAAGGAGTTATTATTTTTTCTATAAAGCATAGAAATCATAATACAATTCATTGACACCCAAAAATGATTTATGATTTAAGAAGCTTCACCCATTTAGCCCACCTGACCAAAGACCTCTTCATTCACAGTAAATGTTAGGTCCAAAATATCATTGATGTCATTGTCTTTCATCCACTGCAGACTCTGATGAAATTCCTCGTCCAAATATTCCAGGTCACTCAGATCACAGGATCTGGCAAGAACAGGCAAACATGTACAGAATGTGCAGTATGCTCAATAAGTTAATTCAACAGTATCATCATAATATTAATCAGCTCAGTCACACATGCATATGCTGGAAAATTATTCTAAAGATTCTAAAATGAAAAGATTCTAAGGCATCCTAACACTACTATACCAGTATTTTCTCAAAGTTGCATTATAGCTTGTAAAGGATCTTTCATTTTAACAATGATTAAAAGAACAAATTACATGATTAGACACATTAGCAAATAGAAAAAATGTCAGCCAGATATAACCTTCTACTTAGTATTTTATGCTATAATTTCTATAAAATTCTTTGGTTCTTTTTAACATAAAACATAGTAACATAATGAAGAAACAATCTTCTAGGCTTATTGCCAGCATGGAGAATACCTTGATCAAATTGAGTGTTAGTTTTTAAATGTGTTTCAGATGCCATTTGCAAGATCAAGTTGTCTCATCTACGCATAACAAAATTTCTATCAATCAGCTCTTAATATAAAGTCATTGCCATTAACCAGCCAAAGCATAAAGTATGATCTTCATCTCAGCAGAAACAATACAAACTATTACAAACCTGTAATGGTCTCCAACACAATATAATAAAATGGCATAGCAGCATTGATTTGAATAAGCATACTTTGAATACAAGAAATGCGGTGAGTCAGATGACAGGAGTGGACGCCATCAAGGGCGAGTACTGTTTTACTCGAAATCAGTACTGAGAAAGAAGGATAATTTGATACTAAGGCAGGGTCTCAAGGACATCCATTATAAAGTGAAACAACAGTAACACAAATTCCATTTTATTCCATCTCACATATAGAACAAGTGCTTTACAGCAGAAAACTCAAATTTTAAAATAAACTTCTGTTTATTTAAATAAACTTACTGAATGTAATTTGTACAACATTACAGATCTATATACAATGGGATTAACCTCTCAGATCAGTGAAATAGCGAGGGTTCCCATCTCAATACTTTTCTTGGACCAATTTCAAAATCAAATAACCTCCAACTTTTATGCAAAACTAAGAAACAACAACGAAGGGCCATTTAACCCCTCAAGCTCATTCTGCCACTCAATACAATCATGGCTAACCTGAACCTAACTCCATATTCATACCAAATAAAAAGCGAAAGAACTGTGGATGCTATAAATCAGGAACAAAAACAAAAGTTGCTGGAAAAGCTCAGCAGGTCTGGCAACATTTCTGAAGAAAAATTCAGAGTTAATCAGAGTTCTGAGGAAGGGTCACCAGACCCGAAACGTTAACTCTGATTTTGTCTTCACAGATGCTACCAGACCTGCTGAGCTTTTCCAGCAACTTTTGTTTTTGTTCCATATTCATACCATTGTTCCATATCCCTTAATGTTTTTAGTTAAGGAATATTTTATTAACCTCAGATTTAACATTTCCAATTAATATCATCAATTGCGATTTGAGGCTGGGCATTTCAAACTTTAACCATAACTTCTATGCTTTTTATGTCTCTTTCTGAGATTTTCCCAGATTCTACTCAGACCTAAACAAAATTAGAAACTGAATTTTTCTCAAAGAAGGAATTTGCAAACTCACTGTACAGTTCCATTAAAGGATATTGCAGATGACACAAACATTTGGGGTGTTGTTGATAGTGTAGAGGATGGTCTCAGAATGATACTGATCAGCTCATAATTAGATCTAGCAATGGCAGACAGAATTTAATCCGGATAATTGCAAAGTGATGCATTATGCGAGGTCTATTAAGAGAAGGATATGCAGTCTGAATGGTAGTCCCTAGGAATTCTGAGGAACAAAGGGACCTTGACGTACAAGTCTATAGATTCCTGAGGCATCAGCAGAGGTAAACAAGGTGGTGAAGAAAGCATACCGGATGCTTACCTTCATTAGCTGGGACATCGAATATAGGAGCAAGGAAGTCTTGTTAAAACTTCATAAAATATTTGTCAAGCCACAAAAGGAATACTATGTGCAGTTCTGATCGCCACACTATTGAATGGATGTGACTGCACTGAAAAGAGAAGGAGATTCACCAAGATGTTGACTGTGATGAAAAGAGGAGACTCGATAATTTGGATTTGTTTCTTTTAGAGATGAGGAGGCTGAGGTGGGATCTGACTGAAGCATAGACTAAACAGATCATGAGAATGTTTTTCCAATGGCAGCCATGTCTAAGACCACGTGGCATAAGTTTAAGGTGAGGAGCAAGTGGTTTAGAGGAGGTCTGAGAATAGTTTTTTCACCCAAAGGGTGGTAGATTTATGGAACATACTGCCTGAAAGGGTGATGGAGGCTGGTAAGCTCGCAACATTTAAGAAGCATCTGGATGAGTATTTAAAATGCCAGGGCATAGTAGGCTATGGACCAAGTGCAGATAAACGGGATTAGTATAGTTTGGTTTTTACTGGTTGGCATAGATATGGTGGACCAAAGGGCGTGTTTTTATTTTGTATAACTCTATGACTAAAGAAGTAAGAGATTCAGTGCTGGGCAGGCAGCCAAGAATCCAAAAATATACTTTTTCTTCATTCAAACCCCCATCCCATCACTATCTTTTTGTGTCTGATGTTAAAGCAAATTCCAGGCCTGGATGGTTGGGCTCTTCTGGCTTGACTGGACTTTCAACTTTTTCTGCACTTTAAAAAATTTTCCACAAGAAGGAAACACAAACAGTCAAGAAAAGAAAGCTCATTAGTTGTTAGTGGTGGATTCAGCTATAGAAATGGCATTGAGTTTCAAGAGAGATTATTACATTCTCTCCTGTTAGATATGGTCAATGCTTGGACCTTGGTAATGGTGTGAAATGTTACTTCCTTTTGACCAACTTAAGCCCGAATGTTGTCCATGCCTTGCTGCTTGCAGGTCTGACCTGTTTCATTATCTGAGAAATTGTGAATGAAACTGAACACTCTGCACTCACCGATGAACATCCACATTTCTCACCCTATGTTGGAGGGGAGCTGCAACTTATAATAATCTGCCATATTGCCTGCAAACAATTCCAGTTACTGGGAGATGAATAGCTTGATGGAGCTCGCTCTTGCCAGCAATCAGAGCACTCACTATGGGAACAAAAAATATAGTGGGAAATGCAACAGCTCAAATGAGAATCAGGTATGGAGCAATAATTCAGCATTCCAGCTACACTGATAAACAGCTGCATTTGTTTATTTGCTTTCTCGTTGGACTTCATGAAATCTCATTCAAGGGCTTGCATAGCAGCAGCCCAACAATTTCTCACATCCTTGCTACTTTTATGCTGCATAGATGATGGCGCATAGATGATGGCATATAGATGCTGTCAACAAGGTGCAATGAATGCTAAAAGCTCTTTTAGGTGGAATCATTTACAGTCAAAATTGACTTTGATCAATAAACTATTATCTTCAAGTGTTGTTCTGAATCCATTCAGGCGAGTAGAATCTATTTTATCATGATTCTTACTTGAACCTTGTCGGCAAAGGATAGGCCTTTAAAGTTAAGAAGGTGAGTGGCTCATCAAACAGTCCCTAAACTCTGAAAACAACAAATGCTGGAGATCATAGCAGGTCAGACAGAATCCATGGAGAGACAGCAAGTTAATATTTTGAGTTTAAATGATTCTTCATCAGAGCTGAAGTGAAGTGTGGAGGAGGCAACATTTATGCTAAAGTTGGGGGGTGGGTGAGATGGTGTGTGTGGGGGTGGCGGGGTGTAAAGCAACGAAGGTGTACACAGTGAAAGAGACAAGCGGAATTCCAGTCGGAGGGTCTAGACTCGACATGTTAGCTTGGTCTCTCTCCACAGATGCTGTCTGACCTGCTGTGATCTCCAGCATTTATTCTTTTCAGTGCAGATTCCAGCATCTACAGTAATTCAGTCCCCAAACCCTATTCCTTTCTTATGGCTGTGGCATTGATAAAACTGGTAAAGTTCAGTTTCTGATCAGTTGTGATCCTAAAAATGTTTGTAATAGGGAATTTAGGCACATTTGCACTATTAAAGTTCAAGGGGACCTGTCATACATTTTTCATACTAAAGACTGCGACTATATAGTATATTCTTGCAAATGCTACCCATCACTTGTCACCCAAGCCTGAAATATTATCTAGGTCCCATTGTTTGCAATCTTGGGCTGCTTTGTTATTGGCATTAGAGATGATCAGCTAACGTTCCTTATTCACTTTGAGACATTGGAAACATTGATGATGCAGTTAAAAATGCTTGAGGGAAGGGTGCTTGCATGAGGAACTCCTTAGCCATGTTCGGGGGGTTATGATTGGCCTCAGGTGACTACACACATCCTCCTTTGGGAAACATGTAATTCCAGCCACAGGAACTTCTTTTGCGTTCCATTGAAAAGTGTTTTATATAGAGCTCCTTAGCTTCATAAGCAATAAGATATTGCTTTGACGTCAAGGTTGGCTATTTTCATTTCTCCTTTGGCATTGAGACTATCCATACATGTTTGGATCAAAACCTGGTTGAGATCTATAAAAAACATGTTATAAATGAACTTAAATAGAGCATTTAAAAAAAAAATCACTCAAAGATATGGGCAACACTGGCAGAACCTGTATTATTTGCCCATCCTTATTTGCTCTTGGTGGTGAGCCGCCTTCTTGGACCACTGAAATCCATTTTGATATAGATAAACCCAAAATGTTGTTCAGGAGGGAGTTCCAGAATTTTGACACAGCAACACTGAAGGAGCAGTGATACATTTCCAAATCATGATGGTGAGTGATTTGAAAGAGAAGGTGATGGTGTTCCCATGTATCTGCTGCCCTTGATCTTCTAGATGTAAGTGGTACTGAGTTTGGAAGGTGCTGTCTAAGGATCTCTGGTGAATTTCTGAAGTGCATCTCGTAGACAGTACATACTGCTGCTATTAGTGACAGTTGTGGAGGCAGTGAATGTCTGTGAATACGGTACCAATCGAGCGGGCTGTTTTGTTCTGGGATGGCATTAAGTTTCTCGAGTTTTGCTGGAGCTGTACTCATCC